ACTAAACGGCGGGGAAACACAACACCTACCAGACCAAAGATCCCGATTAGCCGAACGCCTGTCCGCAAATCACAGCCGCAGCAGCACGTACGAACCAAGATCGCCATAAATGTTCTCAATGTAACGACCGCCTTGGCGTGCTGTAAAGGTTCTTGTGAGACGTAGAGTACGGCGCAGCGAAATGAACGCGTTTTCAGATGCGTCTGCAACTCAGTCTAATGCCAGGTGGTGTGCACGTGGATGCTACGATTGCAATGCACGCTGGTATTAGTTTCGTTTCCTCGTTGCCACCGTTGGGTGGAGATCTCTTGGGAACATTGAAATAACCGCTTTTCATTCAAAATATTGCTGCTTTTGTGTGTCTTTCGATGGAAATCTAACTTTTAACACGTTTTTGGCCTTAGAAATTTATAATTACTCGGGCCGAGTCATAAAATACTAGCCGTTCTTCTTCGTAGTCGTATTTGGTCGCCAAATGGGAGATCATAGTCCCAGACGTTCCTAACGTAGAGCGTCAACAGCTTGCTTTATCGCTAGTCACTTGAAAGGATAGATGAGAAGGCCCTTCTTTATTCTGTGACATTTCTTGACGAAGCGTCTAGTTTTCACAGAAAGTAGTGCTTGGAGTAAAAAACGTTGGCTTTTAATCAGTCTCGACGGTCTTGCAGGTAAGCTGGAATCACTATGAGGGAGTTTTTTCTTACAGAAAGCCCAATATTCAAGCTACAACAAACCAAGTATGGCGTGTGCTGAGCAACCACAATTTCAATGGTAATATTCCAACGCACAAACTTATCCCTGATATGAATTACTCCCTCTGTCATAAGAAAATCAATGCATCTGAAATACAAATATCTCTATACACTCAGTGACAAGCTAGGGCAGCAAAAATTTCCTCAATGTGCTTTTTATTGTATTATTCTACATCTGCAACAATGGATGCTTACATATAAATTGCGCACAACTTCGTTAGTTCTTAACATTAATGTTCTTCTTGATTCGTTCCCAGGCGTCGCTTTTCCTAACCCCGCTGTTTTCGTCGCGCTCTTGGCGCCTGGGAACGAGTAAGAGTCTACTTCAGCAAACTATGCATGCAGTATGCTAAAACATTATACAACCCCCCAAGAAAACAGCTGGACGTGTTGCCTTGTCGAGTCTGTCGACAGTTCCATTCACCCGGAACTTCAAGGAAACTTTGCATACGGTGCAGGCTGCATCTGTGTATAAAATGAAAAAAATAAATAAATAAGTAAAATAAATAAAATAAACAAACGAACGTGCACATCCTTATGTTCGTATATAAGAGACTGAGCAAGGGCTTAACCCTTTAAAGAGAGTTTTGCAAATATAAAGAAGCCGATTATGGTGCTGCCTAGTGCTGTAATCCGAGAACTTAAACTGATTTGCACTTTGTTTTTTACAGATTTGTTTCTATTTGTTTCTTTCTTTTCTTTCCTTTTTGTATTTCGTACTTTTGGAGCGAAATTAACGTTAATTATTCCATGCGATTAGTCATGTGATAACAAGAAAAAGAGGAACTAGCTGGAATAGGTTAAGCGCAGGAATAAAGTCAACAGAATTTTGTCTTTTCTGTCTTTACAAAATTAAAAGTACAGTTTCTAATCCCAGGAGTGTTTCTTCAAACTAAGCAACGTCTCAATACAAAGCCGTAAATCAAACCACCGTGTTGCCCTGGCCGGCAATCCTGAGTTCTATCTGGGAACAACTTGAACATTTTGTTTTGTATCGACACTCATAATAAGTTGTGTTATTTTAATGATTACAATAAAATCCATGATGCACGAAATGCTAAGACTACTTGCACAAAACAATCTTTGAGAAGCAAGGGTTTTGCCCAAAGAACTCGTGAGGGTTAGAGCGCGATTAAGTCAGGAACAACAAGGAACTCTTATATCTGATTCCAGGCTGACATACCTTTGTCGTGATATTTTGTTTTACTCCCTCCCAAATTTGGAAACCCAGCTATAGCAACCTTTTGACTCGAAATTATTCCAGTCAAAGGGACAGTGTTCGGTAATTTCCACATTATACTGCCACAAACAAAATGCAAATACATTGGATAAAAACATTCTATAACAGAACAGCTATTTTAATTACCACGACAACGTTAGGGTCGATTACAATATCAAATGCTGACGGATCTTCACGAAGGGTTTGGATGTACGAGTACACCACGATGATGAGGTAGATCTAGGAGAAGATAAAAACATTTTTATCACATCTCGGTGAAGAAATAACGCAAGAAAATATAGGTTCATGACAGGGGAATGTTCTAATTAAGAAAAGTGTAGATAACTTACCGATAAGAGCCAATATAGAGTATACACCACAAAGTGATACTGGATCTGCAAATAAAAATGTTTCGCTAACTCACGATCTTCAACATTTTTACCTGGTATGATTTTTGCTTTTATAGTATTTGCAGGCACAATCTCGTTCCCACAGCCCACGTGTCTTTTGGACAGCGCCAAGACACGGAGCTCTGGAATAATCAATTTCCGGACTCCACGATTTTAGGAGTTCCGGTTTCACGGCGCATGCGTGCCTTGGTTTAAAACATGGCAATCTCAATCCCAGAGCAAACGTGTCTTTTGGTCAGCGCCTGACCAAAAGACACGTGGGCTCTGGGAGCGAGAGAGGTAGCTGTTATCTTTTCCACTACAACGCAACGTTTGTTTATTTCATCTTGCTTTGATTTACGGAATATTCTACTTTCAAATCAAACCAATGTAACTTGACTGCTATATCATAACATTATTATATGATCACGATAATCGTGACTGTTTTAGTTTTTGTTTACAAACGTTTTTGCAACACTGTATGTATTTATGGTCTTGCAAATAAAGCTAGTTGTTGCTGTTGTCGTTGTTGCAACTTGCGAACAACCGATCGACTTACCCCGTTCCAAATTACAACGAGAAAGATCGTGAGTCCGAAAGTGTAAAGAAGCATAAAAATGTTCCAGATCAAGTAAGGGAAAGCCAGATACGGGTTTCTCTGAAATGAATAATAATAAAAAAATTGTCGATGAGGGAATGATTGAGTCAGTACGGCAGCAATATTGGCAAGGGTGTATAGAGAGCGAAGACCGAAGACCGAAGACAAAACCCCTCGAAAACGAAGACCCCCCTAGAAAACGAAGACCTCGAAAACGAAGACCCCCTTGAAAACGAAGACCTCCTAGAAAACGAAGACCTCGAAAACGAAGACCCCCTAGGAAACGAAGACCTCGAAAACGAAGACCCCCTAGAAAAGGAAGACCCCCTTGAAAACGAGGACCCCCTCCAAATCACTGTATGTGATCGAATCGTGCTGACGTGTCTATTGAAATCCTGCCTTATCAATCCATCTTGTTTCTTTTCTAGCTGTTGTCGTGTTGTTTTTCGTGGGAGCAGAATGTTTCTATCTATTTTGTGTTCATCTGGGAAAATTAAGACCTAAGACGCTCGACGTAAACTGATGTAAACCGTCGACTTAAGGGTTACGTGACATTTTATGCTGTGTAAAGGCCAATTAGTTGCAATTGCAGCACGGGATGCATAGGTCAATTCCGTTGTCAAGTTGTCAGTCCTTACTAGCTGGGGAAGCTTGAACGTCCGAAAAGTCGACATCATTCGAGATCGTGCCCGGTCTTACAAACAAGAAGTGCTGTTATTTTTTCCGCCGAAACACCCCTATAGCCTGATGACCTTTCGAGCCATCACGTCGTGACGCGCAATCACGCGACATGAATTTGCGATGTTGGCGTGACTTTCTGTCATATAACAGCGCTCAACTGAGGTAAACACCAAACGATGTAAACGGAGTAATAAACAAAGATCAAGACCCACTTAGCATTCAAAAGCATCATTTGAAGCCGCTGCAAAGCATTATTTCAAGATTTGCGAAGATATCCTTAGTATTCCGTTCCGTCACACAACCCTTTGCCCTTACGCGAGCAAACCTTTGCGCAGCATTACATCGGTTTACGTCCGGGGGAAAAGCTAAGAAAAAGCTAGGCCGCGATTCCATCTTCGTTTACCATAAGTTCTGTCTTCGTTTTGTTGGGGTCACAACGCGCGTGATTCAATTTAATGTCTTATTCAGTGCTAATTTCGCCGACAGTTTTGACCGGGTTCTTAGGTCTTACGTCTTCGTTTTTTGAGGGTCTTAGTTTTTGTAACGCCCTGGCTAGACTTGTCAGGACGACTTCCGTAAAATTTATTGGGTTGTTTCCACAGTACGTGACCGAACGAAGCGTTGTGCCATCGATCTTTCGCCTCACGGATAGAATTTCGTTTTCTAGGGGGTCTTTGTTTTCGAGGGGTCTTCAGTCTTCGCTTTCTAGACACCCATATTGGCAAATAAGGACTTGTACTCACCGAATCGTAAGACCACAGCAGTAGAGCATTTGCCAGCATCGAGATGCCTCCAAAAACCACTCCGACGGGGTACAAGCGGATAATAACTAACAAAAACGAAAAAAAGAAAAACATTTTGTCGTTTGATTTGTTGCGAGTTCTCGTCAGCATAAATAAAATCGAATCTTCAGGCCAACTCATATGTACCGAACACTCACAAATGTCACCACCATGCGAATACGGGGAATTGGCACCGAAAAGATAAGATTTCATTTGGAGTAAGTTATGCTTTCAAAAGTTCCCTAAGACTACAAGGCTCCCTCAAAATACAAAATCTGCTTTGAGCCAGGTAATCATTATGGCTCTTCATATATTTCTTGTAGAGCGATGAAGCAACGAAAACGGAGAAGAAAATAACAGACACGTACCTTTAAAATACTTGTAAGCCACAGGCAAGTCACTATCATCAAGGGGCGATGAACTGTATGTGTTTTCGATGTCATTAAGGGTTTTGTAGACACTATAATTGGCATACATCACATAACCCGAGTAAAGCTGTCAGGAAGAGGAAAAGTAAGAATTATTTCAACACTGTTTACCGGTTTTTTAGGGTTATGGAGTCACTTAAATTTGATGGCCCTCTGGGAAGTTAGTCAGTTCGTCAAGTTCATTCCCCGTCAGATTGAATATGGCGCAAAACACAAGCTAAAATTATCCTTTGCATAGGTAGAAGATGATTACGGGTTTAAAATTTTAAATATAAAATCGACAAGTCAACCTCTTTGTGAAGATTAATACAGGACGCCTCGATGGTACTCGACTGAGAGAGCCTGCCACATGGAAGAAGAAGGAAGAATTTGAAAGCAGCATTCGTCAAACAGGTTTTATAAAATTAACATATTAAGCAATATTCCTTTTGCAAGAGGTGGAAGATTTTACGGATACCATATAATAATACTGAACAAATCAACTGAGTAATCTTAATGTTTAACTAAATGAGAAAGTATTAGCAAAACTAATGTACAAATTGTTCGTTAGTTGTAAACTGTACTTTTCCTCCTTAAGGAAAGATCTGGTTCACCTGCACTAATTCATCCGAGTGCGTAGGTTTTGATTGAGGTTATCACTGAACGAATATCGAAACGGTTAAATTTTATCTGAGTTGCAATTTTTACTAAATTTCTGCTTTATTTCAGTGTAACTCAAAGCGAGCCAGATTCGGGGTCTTGTCTAACCCTAACCCTGAGTTTTCCCAAACCGCAACAAACTTTACACAAAACTAGTATTTGTATCACGCCGTCGTTTCTAGATAGCACCAGGACAGACGCAAGTACATAACGTCATCTAGACGCCCAATTTATAAGCATAAACAGACTACTCGAAACCGAACGGGGAAGCAACACAATACCTACCAGACCAAAGATGCCGATGAGCAGAATACCTGTCCGCAGATCACAGCCGCAGCAGCAAGTACGAACCAAAATCGCCATGTTTTCTTCGCTATTAACGACGGCCCGAGCGTGCTGTAAGAGTTCTAGTGAATCGTAGAGCAGGAAGCAGCGAAATGAACCCCTTTTCAGATGCGTCTCAGCAACGGTAGTACGCAGCTACCCTTCCTGATTTACATGGTAGTTAAGGAAGTTACAGTCAATAAAGACCCTAACGACCGTCACGTTATTTCAAGGAGCCAATCAATGCAGCGAATTGATATCCAACCTTGACACATTGTTTCCTTTTTGCTTGATTTGAAATTGAACGCTGAAGTAGATATCATTTTTTGTCCTAAATCTATAAATATCAGCATACAAATGTTTCTCAAATTTTTATCGATATTTTCTGGCTTTTCACTTCGTAAAGCGTCCAATCCTTTTTAGTTGCTCTTTCTTAAGAAGAGCAGCACAACTTTGTGTTCCTTCAAGCTAAATAATACGAAATAACCGACTGTATTTTAGAAGTGTTTGGAATGCTTTTCTGGCCACCGTTCATTAAAGCTTGACTTGTACAATTGACATACATCAGACCACCTCAAAGGCTACTCACAATGATGATATTACATTTGGACTGAATAAAGTGAAAAAATAAAAAAATAAATAAAAAAACAAAAAACAAACACAGACATCGTCAGAACTGTCGCCTGAAAACTCGCGTACAGTTGTTCTCCAAAAGGGCCATA